AGTCTCTAGTGAGCATCCCTGATAGGTAACACTTCACCCATATTGTCACCTTGTTGCTGAAGAAGGAAGCACATCCCTGTGCCTCTGATGGGAGAAGCCTCTAGGAAGTCTGCATCTGGCTTCCTCCTGACTTCATTCCATGTGATTCTTCCCTTTGGTTTTTTTGCTTTGTATCCTTTCCCTGTAATCAACCGTAGCCATGAGTGCAACTGTATGCTGAGTCCTGCAAGTCCGTCTAGAGAAGCCTTGAAACCAGGGGTGGTCTTGGGGACCCTTGACGCAATTTGTAATGCTTATCTGTTCTGTGTGGTATTTTTGGCCAAGTCTAGGTATCAGTATAGATGGAGCTGCTGTGGGTGACCAGATGGGGAAAGGTTGGACCCCTCCTGATGTGATGCCCTGCCATCCCATTTCATGTGCCCTACTCTTGCGAGGCTCTGGGAAGCTGACCTTGAAAATTGCTTGTCCCAGCCAGGCACAGTGGTTCGTGCCTGTAATCCCACAACTTTGGGAGCACTAGGCTGGTGAACTGCTTGAGCCCAGGAGTCTGAGACCAGCCTGGGCAACATGGTGAAACCCTGTCTTTATAAGAAATACAAAAACTTAGCTGGGCATGGTGGCATGTGCCTGTAGTCCCAGCTACTCAGGAGACTGAGGTAGGAGGATCATGAGAGGCCAGAAATTTGAGGCTGTAGTGAGCTATGATCGTGCCACTGCACTCCAGCCTGGGTGACAGAGAGAGACCCTGTTTCCAAAGAAGCAAACAAAAACAAGAACAAGAAAAGTACTTATTGCTATGATTTACCTCTAAATTATAGGATTGACTGTATCTTGTACAGTTTTATATGAACTGATCTTGCTTCAACTTTTTACTAAATACTTTTAGTCATTTCATTTAAGAGATTCCCTGCCCATTTCCATAATTATTTGACAGTCTGCAAACTTAAAGAAGTTATGTTTTGGGTAATGTAGTCAGTAAACTATTCCGACTAATCCACCAGTTGGAAAAATGCTGCAAAAATTTGAAAAGTCTGAAAAGCATGAGAAAGGTGATAAGATAGGATTTATCATGACAAAATCCAAATGGCAACGAGAATCTAGAGGGAAAAGCAGGATGCAGAAGTTGCAGCTGGGTGGTGGTTCATGCCTGTAATCCCAGCACTTTGGGAGGCTGAGGCAGGCAGATCACTTGGGCTCAGGAGTTCGAGACCAGCTTGAGCAACTGGTGAAACCCCATATCTACAAAAAATTACCTGGGTGTGGTGGCACAGCCTGTGGTCCCAGCTACTCAGCAGGCTGATGGAGGAGGATAGCTTGAGCCCAGGAGGCGGAGGTCACTGTAGGCCAAGATCGTGCCACTGCATTCCAGTCTGGCAGACAGAGCCAGACCCTGTCTCAGAACACAGAAGTTGCTTTTGCCTCTGAGGACATATGTCAATGAAGGAAAGCTGGATTTTATTGTTTTTATTCTTTCAGGGTCCACAAGTTCAGAAATTAAAGTTTATGTTCCGGCAAAGGTGGGGAGTCTAATAGGAAACCTTCCTTCACCCTTCCTTAGGTCAGGAATGAACTAGAAGTAAACCTAAACCCACTTTTACCCTCTAACCCTCCAACACTCCCCCAGGAGATCTTAAGGGAAAAAAAAATTCTTTTGTGTTGAACAGTGCAGAGGAGGGAAAGTAAAGAAAAACGCAATCTCTGTGAAGTGACAAGCACGTGCTGGAAGTCTGTGTGAGTTTGTAACTCCAATTCACCTCAACTGGATGGTCCAAAAAACCCTATGCCCCGAACTGGGTTAAAGAAGTCCTGGACCGACCCTAGGTGCCTGGAGAGTGCAAATCCCCTCTGGAGGAAGGCACCATCATTTTAAGCATCAGAGAATCTCCAGAATACGTGTTCTCATAATACCCAAGCTCACCAGAAAATAAGGTAACATCAGTCAGAATCAGCAGGAATAGACCTACAGTGACTTCAGGTATCCTTCATTATCTACATTTTCATTTTGAACATGCAGACCATTCTAAGACATGTAACCTTGAGAGGATGGCAGCTGGATAAAATCAAGCTACCGTATCTCAAAAGGTCCAGCTGGAAGGGGAAAATGACCTTGGGCCTCATGGAGGAGCTTCCCTGGATTATACTTAGGACAAATAACACACTGGGAATAAATCTTTTTGTGCCACTGTGGAGGATGGTTTCCAGTAACATTGTTTACACTAGGGTATACTTTTATCTGGATTCCAATGTGTCAAGTTATTAACACATTCCTTAAGGGGTACCTGACATCCCATTGGAATAATGGTTTATTATTAAGTCCATACAATATTTTAGTTTCAGGAGACAGGTGTCTCCCTGTCTGTTTCCAAGTGGATTTCTCTTTTGTTGGGGCTACATTCTAGGTTTCCTTCGATATGTTTTTAAGTGTTTCAGGCTTTATGATCATTTTTTGGATTGGGGCTGGTGGCTTCAATGCTGCTTTTTTAGCTGTAGCAATAGCAAATTAATTAACTCCACTTTTAGTGGTGTCCAATGTAGAGTGACCTGGGATTTTCACAATTGTCAAAAGTTTTGGTTGAGAATAGTTTCTAACAGCTCTGATATTTGGTTGTCCATTTTTTATGTGTTGTTGCCCTGAGGAGGTTAAATATCCTCTCTCCTTTCACATTCCAAAGTCATGAGCAACTCCAACTGCTTAGCAGCTGTCAGCGTATGTTCACAGTCTTGTCTTTTGCTAATTGACAAGCTTGAGTCAGGGCAATCAATTTGGCCCCTTAAGCTGATTTGGCTTGAGGAAGAGGACCACTTCAATTACCTCTAGTAAAGAAACCACAGCATATCCTGCTCTAAAATTTCCATCCTCCCATCTTAAATAAGACCCATCTGTATACCATTCTATCTCAGCATTATCCAGTGGCATCTCTTGTAGGGCTGTCCTGGGAGCGAGAAGTTGGTCAGTCATCAGAACATAGTCATGAGGGTTTTCATCAGAAGAACCAGGCAAGAGAGTGTAAGTTAATTATTTGGAGCATATTATCTCAGTCAAACTGTATAAAATAATCTAAAATTGATTCATTTGGGTTCTGGTGGCATTGCTGGATTTTATTCCAATCCACAACCCTTTGGAATATTGAAGAAATGATATTTAACAGAGCAGTTGCTCATTCCCACACATCTTTGTGCCTGTGCTCTCGATTTCTGGGGGCTGGTTATTGTAGCTCTATTGGGCCTTCAGGGGTTAAGTCTGCTACAGGGTCTGACCACTGTACTTTCTCCAGTCATTCCTTAGCTTTAGCTTCCGAGACCAACATGTGTACCAGCTGTTAGAGGTCTGAATGGCCTGGGTCATAGGTTCTGATAATGAATTCAAATTCTTGGGCAAACCCAATTGGATCTTATGCAGACCCAGAAATTCTTTATGCCCTGCAACTCAGCCTTTGACCAGGGTTGGTAGACAATGACTGGGGTTCCCCTACGTGTTGCCGGTTGTTCCCAAAACAGGGTGATCATGAGAGATGGCCCTGCGGGGTCCCCCTTTTCCACATCTTCCAAATGAGAGGCTGCTGCTGGCACTGTCAGGGAATTGTCAGGAGGTAGGATCTTGGAAGTTAGACTCCCTACTGCCTTCTGTTGAGTGAGTGGCATATAAGGAGGGGAAGATGTTAGATTGAAACATGCAGGAGAAGGAGGGAACAGATCTGGTCCGGGAAGTTCAGAGAGGTCAGGGGTAAAGTGGGGGTGTAATTAGAGATGGGGAGGTGCCACGGGGAAGTAAGGGATTCTGAGGATTTCTTTAAGAGAGACAGAACTTTAGAGAGTCCTTGGTTAGGACTCTAAGTTGTTTGTTGGCTTCTTGTAAGGACATGAGGCGATCTTCCCCCTATTTGCTCCTCTCTAGGTACCACTGAAAGTAGCTCTCCCATTCTGGTTGTTTAGTTTTTGTGCCTGCGTTTTGCATCCTAGTTCACAGGTACACTAAGTTGGGCATCTCAGAAGATCCCCATCAAGGCCACTGTAAGTTAGAATCTGCCTTGGTTATAGTGGTCCACTTGATTAAATATTTGCATGACAATTCACTCTAAGTGTTTTTGCACATACCTGGCTGGAGTTTCTAAGGGCGGAACTTTGTGTTCCACAGCTGTGGGGCTTTTAGCCAACTTAAAGGGCTCCTTCCACATAATTTAGAGTTTTCTTTCAGATTTGACCAAGTCGGAGGGTTTGTTGGATCCAAAGTGTGCTGCTTGGGGACCTAGCTTTTCAGGGCCGTTACTCCCTGAACTGGTATGGTGGCTACCTGGCACTGTGTGTCAGGGGCTCAAGGTGTGGGAGATGAGCTCCTTGTTTGCACCTGCTAGCTGAGATTAGACCCTAAGTATGTTCTTCTGATGGGAAATCCTACTCAGAGCCATTGCACATCTGAGAGGGGCGTGCTCTTATTTCTTTGGGGAGGAAAATTCCATACTCATAAGCTAGAGGGTTTAGAGTTGGCCAAATCCAATAAGAGAAGGACTGAAACATACAAAAATACCTAACAAGACAGAAACAAACAAGACATCTAAGCAAAACGAACAGCAATCACACAAATTATACAATTTCTGAGTGCTCTAAATGTAAGGAGAAATCAAGACCAGCTGGTTGTTAACAGTAACTTTAGTTATTAACGAGAATTTGCAAGACAGAATCTCAACTCAGCTCCTTACCTAGTGATGAGGCTCAAGCTGAAGACTGTTCTCCACTGATAAGAAGCAGACAAGCTTGCCTGCCTTGACGGAAGCAAGTAAAAACTCCCACCAAAAAAAAAAAAGTTTTTTTTTTTTAAACATCAAATTAAACCTCAGAGCCCCAACTTCCTGCAGGGAGGAGGTCCCAGACCTCGACAAATTGTCCTATTGGTTTGGGCTATAAAGAGCCCAAACTGGTACCAATAGGAGAGCTGCTGCAGGCTGGGGCCACCTTCACTCAGGATCCCTCCGTAGTCAATCAAGGAAAATGACCCAGGCAAATCTCAATCATTTTTTGAGGTTTATTTGCCAAAGTTAAGGATACACACCTGGGAGATAGGTCTATTCCTTTCCCCAAAGATGATTTTGAGGGTTTCAATATCTAAAGGGGAAAGGGAAGGATATTGAGAAATACATAATTTTCATGTGAGAAGAGGGTAGGGGAAAACAGTCATTCATGCCTTTGTCTGACTCAGTGAATCTGCATTTTTACATAATATAGATAATGTAGACGATAGAGCAGAGGAAACAATCAGATATGCATTTGTCTCAGGCGGGCAGAGGGATGACTTTGAGTTCGCGCCTATGTCCCCACACCTGTGGAGAAAAGCTATCGGTTCACATTGCCATGATGCATCTTAACAGAAACACTTTAGGGTAAAAGTCTTGGGGCCTCCAAGGAATTTCCCTGTGGGCGAAATGTGATGGAGGTATGTAGCTTTTTGTATTTTAGCCATCTTATTTAGGAACCAAAATGAGATGCAGGTTGGCATGACCCAGTTTCTAACTTGACGTTTCCATTTGGCTTAGTGAGTTTGGGGTCCCAAGATTTTTTTTACTTTCACACAATCATAATCAGTAAATCACTGTACTTTATCTTTTTCATCTAATTGGGAACTCTGGGTGTTTTTTAATTTGGGGGGAATGAACAGTATTTTCTAAATTCATTATGAATTGTGTGTCATGACAGTTATTGTTTCCATATTCTATTTTGTAGTGATAAGAAACTGATGTTGGCAAGCTACCAACTTTGTTTGCCCAGGTGTTTATACAGTGCATTGCTAGACTAATCTTAAACATCAATTATCACCAATTTGGGGCTTTATTGTTTTGAAATCTATAACTCATACTTTAGTACTTTGTAACATTCGCACTACACTGCATGATTTTTAACTTCTAGTTTGTCTTGTGTTTCCAATTAGACTCCAAGTGCTTACTGGGTTTAAGATCATCATAGGACCCTATACTTCACCTAAAATGTACTTTCATTTGAGCTTTGACTTGACTGTATTTTTATTGTTTTCTCTGGTTGAAGCATTTTAGTTGGGGGAAAGAAAAGCTTGTATCTTCTCCCTGTATTTGTAACCAGAGCATGATAGGTTCTAAACACCTTCGTTGCAAATATTTTTAAATTGAACTGACTCCTGAGTTCGTGCAGTTTGTATAAAAATATCTGGAAGACTAGAATGTTCATCTCACTGATATCAGGTGAGATCTGCTAATTCATTCCACTGAATTTGGCTATTGTGAAACGGTAGGGAGAGGAAGCCTAATTATAGTACCACCCATCCTATGCGCTCAGCTTTCCTCCACCTAGAGTCTGGGAACACCCAGACCAGCAATCCTAGCCTCACTGAAGAAAATAATTAAAGAGTAGGCCACTCAACACTGTTCTAATAAGACAAAGTTGTTTTTACAACGTTAAGATTGCCTAATTAACAAACTTTTTATGTTGTTAATTTCATCATGTATGAGTTGCTATTTCCTGGATAAAAATTGAAACATACATGTTAACTTACATAATGTCTATAACAGTGGGAAATAATATAGAGCAAAAATATTTTCTCCTACGTGTACTATTTTCACCTTTGGTTGGCCTAAGAGAAAAATCCTTACATGGTGATATGAGAACATTCTTCATCAGATACAGAGGAATCTTTAACCAAGCCGTACAGCAGCCTCTTATTGAATAGACGTACATTTTAGGACTATCATGAGAGAGAACACCTTTTATTCAATATATTTATAGTATATTTATAGCTCTTCTACAGTATATGTGTAGAATTACTAGGAGAAATGAGAAAAAAATAGGTGACTGTCTAGTCCTCAAGGATTTTAATGCCTGGAAAGAAAGATTAAATGTATAATATTTTCCTGAAAATATACAAGAAAGTCAAATTATGAAATTTTGAAAATAGCTTTACATATTTCAATGGAAATTTTTATCCTATAGAGAGCTAGAAAATACTCAATCCCTAATGAAAGCTCACTTTAGATATAATCTTTGACAATATTTTCATAAACAAAGGCTCTTTAGTTTATCTTCTTTCACAAGGGAACAGCATCAGACTTAGTGCCCAATTACGTGTCTGCAGGAGGCCAAAGAAATATCATTGCCGAAGGTAGCATCTTTACCTCCAAGTGAGCAAGACAGGTCCCATCACTGCTATAAGAACTTTGAACTTGGGAAATAATCAGTAATGGCTTCCAATATTGAAAGATATTTAAAAGCTGTAACTTTGCTGAGAACATTATAGATAAAAACACTGTAGAAGTTCAGGTGTTGAGAGATTATCTGCAACTGAAAGGATCTGAGAATCAGAGGTCAGAGAAACATACAGTCTATCACATACTTTCTTATCTTTTTTTGGTATTTTTCTTTTTTTTTTGTTTTGTTTTGTGCAGAGCAGTGGTTCTCAAATATTAGCATGCATGAGAATCACCTGGAGGGCACGTTAAAGCCCAGATTGCTGGCCCCACCCAAGAGATTCTGATTCAACAGGTCTGACGTGGAGCTGGAGAATTTGCATTTGTAGTAAGTTTCAGGTGTTGCCACTGCTGCTTGTCCAGGACAATTTTGAGGGTTTCAATATCTAAAGGGGAAAGGGAAAGATATTGAGAAATACATAATTTTCATGTGTATTTTTTCTGCAAGAGAATGCTACAGTGGAATGACTGGAACAACAGCAAAGAACACTTTAGGTTCTTGATACACTGTCGGGTTGCTATCAAGAAAGGGTATACACATTTACGAACTCGCCAGGGGAACATGAATGTTCTTCTCTGAATAACCTCTGTTATTGAGAGTCATAGGTTTTTTTTTGTTGTTGTTGTTTGTTGTTGTTATACAATTTGATTTGATTTTTGTATTTCTTTGATTAGGCTGAATATTTGTCTACATTTATTAACCGTATATATTTTATCTTACGTAAACTTTCTCTTTGTGTTCTTTTCAGTTTTCAATCAGTGTCAAAATTCCTACTTGTTTTCAATACTTGACTTTCAATGCATCTCCTTCCTGTGAAGTTCTCCTGACAACTCTACACGTGGTCCCTAGTTTGGGCCTCCTCTTCTAATAGTAAATTTATTACTACTTCTAATAGTAAATTTATTACTACTTCTAATAGTAATAAATAGTATTGCGTACTCACAATACTTGGAGAATTTCTATGCTGTATCCTAACTGTTTACACTCCTCTCTCCTGCAGTGGACAATGAGCAACTCAAGAACTATGACTAAGTCTTATTTTTATTCTTTTCTTCAGCACCTAATCAGCTGCTTGGCACAAGGTCTCTGTCAATTATTTAATGAATTAATGAATAAATCTACAAAGATTATGGAAGAGTTGGTTTTATCTCAACATGGACTTCATCCAGATGGTATATCTACATTTTGTATAAAACAAAAAGGAGTACTAAGTCCTTAGGTAAGTCTATGAAAGCTTGTTTAAAGTAATGTAAGTGTTAATTGGACAGTGTATAAAAATTCACACTATGAAACTGCTAGACAATGAAATATTGCTGGCAACAGTTTGCTCAAAAGAAAACCAAGCTTTTTTCTTTCATTTAAAGAAAAGTAATTTCCTCTGCAAAATATTATAAAATTATATTTATTGATTCATCTGGGGCCTTTTCAAGTTAACTGGACAATTATCATGACACACCTCTCCAAAAAAGAATACAAGAAACATTCTTCCTCTGACAATAAAACACACATGTACTTACACATTGAAGATACAAACAGAAGTTAAATTTCAAAAACAACTGCATTTTTTTCATCATGTTATACTGTCAAATCATAATTCTTGTATTCCTAATTTGGCTTTTTCACAGTTTTGCTATACCAAAAAATTACATAAAAAATTACCCAGCTTTATATTATCTCTGAGATACGGGAAAAAACATAAGTGAAACAAATGAGGTTGCTGCTAAGTTGGAAATAAGTAAACATGAGTACTCTTGTCTTTGGAAGGGACTTCTGGCTGGAGGTCTTGAGTCTACGCAAATGTAGCAGCAGGCTTTGCATCTCGGAGTCCTGAGAGTGTCCGATCCAAAGGAACTCCAGAGATGCTGAAACCCCTCTAACCTCCCCGATCTGTTCTTTTACCAAAGGTGAAAGCTCTAACCTGCAAGTTGGGTTTAGAGTCTCCGCTTCAGTTGCAGCTGCGTTTCCTCCACTTTTCCCTTTCGGTCATTATGTTGCTGACCCTTGTAAACGTTTAAATGACTGTTAAAGTGCTCAGTTGTGCTCCTTTTCAGCTATATTCTGCTCCAGTTTTGAAGGTGTAATTTGAAGTAAAATCTTGTGAACCTAAGATCTTACTGTCTCCACAGACAGCAGAAAACGGCTGTAATAGGTAGCGTTAAGGTAGATGTTAAGGCCATTGTTAGTATCGTCAACTGAGGCTAAGTCCTGGGTGGGCTTTTTGCTGTGCCAGATGCCCCACTGTGCCACACAGTCAAACAGTAAACATGGCTCTACAGTAAGTCACACACTGGTTTTCAAAGAAGCATAAATCCTTCCACCAAAGAATCCACTGATAGGATAAATCTTTTATAAAACGGAGGTTTTAAAAACTGAAAGAACATTTTGCAACCCACCCCCAAATTTTGATTCCTACTGACACCCTTGACTCAATACAAAAGAAACTGGACTTCAAAAGATAAAAATGAATTTTTGCTTCTTTGGGTTGTGGGCTATAGTCATATCTTGCTCTGTGTCTAGTTATAGCTTCAGGTCTCCACATGAGGCAGCAAGTACTCCCCGATGGTGGCTGGGGAAGCCCCTCCAACCGCCTGACCTGGTCATATTTCCCACCTCGCTTCTTTATGAATATCATAATTCAGGCTATGCTTAGATCAATTGGCAAAGAAATGAACTAAACAGGGGCAATGATGATATAAAATCAATGAATCAGGTTTCACCAAAAAATGAATAGGGTAAGAAATTATGCTTTTTAAGAATGCCCATCACATAATCATAAATGGTGGTGTTTCCACTATATTTTATAAGACCCATATGTCTCAAGGCCTCTCTAAACAGAACAGGGCCACCAAGTACAAATGTAGGGACAATACCATTGCTTTTTAAGAATTTTAACATTGGTGACAATATATGAAATTTTAGTTGCTGTTAACAACAAAGTGAAAATGCACTGAAGGGGTTCATGACTATAGAATGGTAACACATTGTTAAGATATCAGATACTTTTGAAAATACATATACATGCTTTTGTTATGGAAGATAACTTCTAAGGATTTAAATTGTAAGTTTTTTTTAAAATCATGGTTCTTTGACTGAACATGTGACATATTCCTCAGCGCACCACAGAGTGAAAAACACCATCACAGACTGGATTCCATGTGAGTGGAACTGCTGCACCAGTTCCTGTACGTAAGAGGTCTTATGAAAATCTTGTGAAAAAACATCCGAAATACCGGAGTTCTGAAAATGATAAAAATCCAAGGGTCCACAATTGAAATCACAGATAGAAATCTCAAGGCTCGGAGGTCTTCTGCTTCTTCAGAGGTCCTGATCTTCTCCTTGATATCCTTAAATGCTCCATAGTAAGCGCGATACTGTTTTGAAGAAAAACATTCCATTATGATGTGGAAAGGTTAATGGCAGCAATCGATTCACTTACTTCACCTAAGTTTCTGTAAGAACATGGCAGCTTAGCTTGGAACACTCGTTTTTGGTACATTTACAAGTAGCTAAGGCCACTGCAGCTGATGGGTGCAAGCGGGGAGCTGGGAAGGTGGGGTGTGGCCAGACCTGGGAGGTAGGGCAGAAGCTGAGAACTTGTCAGAGACCCAGTCTGATTAAGTTCCTGAAGGCTATTCTACCTGCTGGGCTCAAGTTTCTAGGTCCCTGCCAGGCCAAGAAGATTTGCTGAATCTTTTACAAACAGGGTCACCATGCTTTCATAGAGTCTCCTTCTAGCTAGCGTCCTTGCACGTACTTTCTTCAATTCTCGTTTCTTCTCCCTGCTTCCTGTCGTCTCCTATTAGTTCTCTCAGAAATAAGTCACACCTGTGAAATGTCACATGTATGCAGACACCAATAGAATGGAAGCTTTTAATCAAAGTGAAGAAACAGGAAATATGACAATGAAAAGACCTGAGATGACTTGGAAAAAAATACTGTTCAACTCATGTAAATTGCTCTACTTTTTCTTAGCACAGATTGTTAACCTTTTCATGGGTGACATCCCTTTTTTTTTTTTTTTCCAATCTAGAAGGCAAAAGCATGCACTAAAATATAAGACTGCCCTTCCTAGGTCCAACTAACTCCTATTGTCTGATCTTCCCTGGGGTCTCTGTAGCCTCCTTGGAGCCTTGCAAAATGCCTCAAACAACAGCTTTTCCTCCTATTCAGTCACCACTGATCTCTAGACCTAGCAAAACCATCGCTTTCCACTCTGCCTAAGGCTGGCCACTTCTTTTTGTTTTTGTTTTTTTCCATTGCATTATCTATGCCTACGATTCTAAATACATATTAGGATAAATGGACTCTAATGGAACAGGAAGCATGCAAACTCAACATTAGTAAGAAGGGATATGGATAAGAGACTGGACCTATTTGAGGCAATCAGAGAGCATCTCCTGGAGAAGATGCATTTTTCCCATAATCATTTCCTTACTGTTCTACTTTCTTCTCTATAGAGCATTTCAGTGGGCTCAGCCACTCCAATCTATTGCACTTAGGAAGACACCCTACATTGGACTCAGCTGTTTAATCTGGATGCCCTCGCCCATCTGAAGTTGGGCGGTGGCAGAGGGAATCTTAACAACTTCTCCATAACATAAATATTGTATTTCATTAAGCTTGATGCAAAGTTTGTAGGCATATGATTTTTAAAATTCACTTTAATGCTGAACACTTAACTCGATTGAATTTTCAAATTTCCAGTTTGATATAATAGGAAGAAAGTGTAAGTGTAGATAATATGGCATGAGCTTTAAAGGCAGCTTGCAGTGCATTCTCTAAGGCATGTAACATATTTTCAGGCCAGGCACGGTGGCTGATGTCTGTAATCCCAGCACTCTGGGAGGCTGAGGCGGGTGGATCATTTGAAGTCAGGAGTTTGAGACCAGCCTGGCCAACATGGTGAAACACCTACTAAAAATACAAAAATCAGCCAGGCGTGGTGGTGGGCGCCTGTAATCCCAGCTACTCGGGAGGCTGAGGCAGGAGAATTGCTTGAACCCGGGAGGCCGAGGTTGCAGTGAACCGAGATCGTGCCATTGCACTCCAGCCTGGGCGACAAGAGCAAAACACTCTCTCAAAAAACAAAAAAACATGTTTTTGCCCAAATTATTTTTACCTTAGAAAACCACAATGTTCTGGAGGTTGGTGGGGGAGCAGGGATGGATGAGAGAGGATGTCCATGTATATATTAGGTGTTACAAGAGAGAGGTCTATAAACCAGGTAAAGATAAGTACAAGCTATTTAATCACTTGTCAGAATCCATGAAGTCAGAGAAGAGATAGAGGACACCCTGAGTGCTTGAGACAGCTCTTAGGTGTATGCTATTTTAGGAAGCAGAAAGAATGGGTGCGATGCTAGTTTCAAAGGAGGCTGTTGGAGGCCTGTAAGGGATAACAGGCAAGGGATGGGCCCAGGGAAAGGGTCTGAGGTAGATTTAAAGAGCAAAGGGCAAGGTCTGTTGTGTTACAGTACGTGGACTGGATAGAAGAGGGCATCAGAAGCCAGAGAGGGCTGCTGGGCAGGGATGTCCAGGAGCTGGCAGCAACATTATTTCAATGCCTCCCATGTCCATCAGAGGGCGTTCTTCTCACACCAATTCTTTCTGGATGTTGAGCACTTTTTAAAAATGCCTGTGTATTATTATTATTATTTTTTTAGACAGAGTCTCACTTTGTCACCCAGGCTGGAGTGCAGTGGCACGATCAAGGCTCAATGCAGCCTTGACCTTCTGGGCCCAAGCAATCCTCCCACCTCAGCCAAGTAGCTGGGACTACAGACACGTGTCACCACACCTGGCTAACTATTTTTATTTTTATTTTTTGAGGCAGGGTCTCACTGTGTTGCCCAGGCTGGGCTCAAACAATCCTCCTGATTTGGCCTCCCAAAGTGCTGGGATTACAAGTGTGAGCCACCACGCCCCAGTGAACAATACATTTCGAATACAAATCCAGTGACTTGAAAGTCAAAATAACCTAATGGATTTGACGTGGATAAATGCTGGCTAGAAAATAAAATAATTTGTTTTAATTATGCTAGTATCATTTAGTTGTCTAGATCCCAACTAATCAAGCATTCTCAAATAGTTGGAATTATATTTTGCCACACTCCACTTTGAGGAGAAAGGGGCAAATGGAAAACAAATTATGTAAAGTGTTTTCTTTTTAAGTCAACCATATAGCTTATTGTCACCCATGTCTCCCCCTTCAGATAAAGATACAATTGCTAGGTCCATTACTTAGAAGAGTGTAAAATCTCCAATACCTATTCAATGTGTCCAGTAGGTCAAAGCTACTGTCATTAAAAACATGATTTGCCTTTTTCCCCTTCATTCTCTCACAGGTGTACGGTGAATTTTATGAAGGCTAGATAACAAATGATGACGTCACTTTCACAAATAATAGAATATGTGGTTGTGTATCCTTGTGTTTTCTAGACTTTTTAAGGTAGTAGGTTGAAGGTACACGTGAGTTTTCAGAGATGTTTTCAGTACTTTTGTGCTCTTAACAGGATTTTTCCACTTTATTTGCTATAATCTCTGTAACTTTACTATCATTCAATCATTTTGAAATCCCCACATTTTACTTGTACATATGGAAAACACAAGAGGTACATTTTATCTTGTTTTGCAACCATATTTTTAGAATTTCTTAGTTTTATTTTCTATTATGAGAAACACTGATGATTTAATCCACATAAGCAAAAGCTGTCTGGGTCATTAATAATTTTAAGAGTATAAAGGGGCCCTTAGACCAAAAAAAGTTTCAGAGCCACTACCTTAGCATATAGCACTATCTCTTGAGAAGATAGCAGTTCTTGATTTTTTTTTTCTGTCCAGCAGGCAACAGTAATACATGGAAGTTATAAATAGTAATAATAATGATGCTAATTATTGAGGCAAGGTACTGGGCTAGGTGATGAATGTATATATTGTGTATATAATTTCAAGTCTTATAGATTTGAACATGTTACAGAACTATCTTACAGAACAAGTATGGTTATAATCATTTTACAGATGAGGAAACTGAGGTCAGAAAGGGTAAATTAGCTGCTACCATAGCTAGTAAGTGATGAAGCCTGATTCAAACCCATGTCTGATGCTAAAGCCCTTATCCTTTCTAGAAAATGGTGGTTCTTGTGAAGAATGCTGTCAACATTAAATATATTTGGAACTTTGCAAGTTTTTTAGAAAATCTTTTTCAACTCCATTATTTCCTTCAATTCTCACATTACCCTATGAGTGATCCAAGTCCCCTTAGAGACATGTCCAAATGCAGTGTTCTTTCCACTGTATGGTGCTGCTTTCTGCATTGGTCTAACTAAAACATTCAAACTAAGGTCAAAATTTCCATGCATTTGGCTACTGTCTGCTTTATCACAGCAAAGATAAGTGAGGCCCTAACTTTATAATAGGAGCTCCTAAAAGATTTTCTAAAGGGCCAGATAGTAACTATTTTAGGTTTTATGAGCCAAGAGACAAAATCATAAATATTTGATAGGTACTAATATAACATGGGAGAAAACACATTTCCACATTTTTTTTTTGATGGAAATCAAAATGTATTAATAATTGAGTACAATTTTTTTTTTTTAGACGGAGTCTTGCTCTATCACCCAGGCTGGAGTGCATTGGTGCGATCTCAGCTCACTGCAACCTCTGCCTCCCAGGTTCAAGCAATTCTCCTGCCTCAGCCTCCCGAGTAGCTGGGATTACAGGCGCCTGCCACCATGCCCAGCAAATTTTTGTATTTTTAGAGACAGGGTTTCACCATGTTGGCCAGGATGGTCTCAATCTCTTGATCTCATGATCTGCCTGCTTTGGCCTCCCAAAGTGCTGGGATTACAGGCATGAGCCACCATGTCCGGCTGAATACAATTTTTTTGTAATATACTTCTACTAAGGAGAAGAATAAAATGTTTTCTTGGAACAGTACTTTTCTTGAAATAGTACTTGGCTCAATTGAAGCTCAAAGCTCTTGGGCCTTATCAAATTGATTGCAGAGATTCATTTGTAAGAATTATTCTTAACTCCAGGGAGATATAGAACAGTGGCCAGGATAGATTTGGCCTGTGAGCTATGGTTTGCCAACTCCTGATTTAGAGTGTGATTCTACAAATGTGAACCCTGAATCTGAGCTTGCATATCACCTGGGAACTTGTTAAGAATGAAAGTTCTTTAAAAATGTCTGAATTAGAAACTCCGGGGAATGGGGTCCAGCCATCTTTTTTCTAGAAGCCCTGCTGGTGATTTTGAGCACGTTAAAGTTTGAAAACCACTGCTATATATCATCTGTGCCTATGTCTATATTTAGACGGATATAGATTCATGTGTTTATTTATTCTGGAGGCATACCGTTCCCATCCCTGCATGCTCATGCCCCAGACTTCTTTTCCCGCACACAATAAGGCTTCAGTTAAAGGAAAATTGCTTTGTATTTTCCTTTCATTCACCATTGAAAGTAATATCCAAAATTGCTACACTCTGAGAAGAAATTTAACAACTTTCCTATTCACAGAAGTCTCAGGATTTCGAGAACATGGGATTGGCAATGGAATTTCTTTTAGTGTTGTTTTTGTTGAACAGGTACCTTGGGGGTGGGAGAAAGGAGAGAAGCAACACTGAAAAAGTTTCCTCAAGTCTCACCTACTCCCAGGTGTCTTGGCGGGGACTCCAGGAACAAATGCCTTCAAAACGAGGAGGTAATTTCATCTCCATCGCTATCCTCATTACTAAATTGAAACCAGAGATAATGGCTTTCGTGTCACCTCACTTGCCAAGATACACTCAAAACCCGTCAAGCCAGGTTATGAAAACGACACCAGCAGCTAAAACATACAAAGAGCCTCGGCCTCCATCGCCATAATCCCTGGCGGATGCAGCACCAGAAACAGCAGCCGTGGCGCCTCAAAGTTTACGCACACGTTTTTCAAAATTGAAACTATGCATCTGCAAATCACTCTGGCTGGATGAAACTTCTTTTTCCCTATCTGTGCCAACACCGGGGAGATCCTCCCAGATGCCATTCGCCCATTTCTGATACCACTGAAGTCATGAACACGTCTAACAAAATAAAACATCACCCAGGCGTCGGGAAGTAGAGGACTCCTATTGCCAGGAGGAACTAAGTTCTGCTCCTCCTAAGGCGCAAAAATTACCCCGAGATCTCCCCAGAAGGAAGCAGAGAGGAAGGAGTTCTGCCACATGGAGAAGGTTTTGCTGGGCTAAGGAGACACAGCCAGGCTCAGTCTTTCCTTTCCTTTCTCTAACTTTCCCTCATTTCGCTCCGCAAACTGAGTTATATCTCGGGCCTGTGGAGGGAATCCAATTTTGGGAACTCAGCAACAAACCTTCCTTGCCCAGGGCGCAGCTCGCCTGGCGCCGCGCCCATCCCACTCCGCTCCACCCTTCCCGCCCCGCATCCGCGGCCGGACAGTCCCAGTGCCCTGCTGCCTCGGGGCCCGGGAACTCACAATTACGGGCAGAGAACACATAGTGAAGAGCACGGTCATCAGTGCCAGCAGCAGAAGGTGATCCAGCTCCTCCAGGGGCTGCGGGGACGCTTCCCTCCCGTCCGCACGCGGCTCGGCACGGTCCCTGGTGCAGGAGCGCCGCTGCTGCTGCAGCCGCCGGTGCATCGCGTAGAGGTTGCGCATGGCGCCGAGGTTGCACAGCACGGTGGCGAAGACCAGCAGCGCCATGAGGCTGGAGTAGAGCACAGAGTACCCCAGCACCGACAGCGAGCCCTCCTCGTGGACCATCTGGATAAAGCACCAGGTGCCGGGGCAGTACTGCACTAACTTCCCGAAGCCCATGAAAGGTAGCGCACAGAAAGCCAGGCAGAAGGCGCTCACCACCGGGGCCACCAGTGCGCCCCGGCGCAGGGTGATGTGCCGTCGGTAGAAGAAGGGGTGCCCTAGGGAGAGCCAGCACTCCAGTGCCATGGCCAGGAGTTGCAGTGTCGAGGAGAGCCCAAAGAAGGACATGAAGAAGGCGAATGCTTGGCACAGCGAGTTGTCCAATGCGGGCGCAAGCACCCGTAGACTCCGGTTCTGAGCGTAGGCAGCCAGCACCACGGGGCTTAGGAGGCACTTGCCCAGCAAGTCGGTGACCGTCAGGCCACACACCAGCACGTAGAAGACCGAGGGCGGCGGGCGCAGTGGACGCGGGGAGCACCACCCCAGCCCCGAGCGCGCCAGCAGCCCCAGGGCCAGCAGGTTGCCCAAGAGGCCGGTGCTGAAGAGCACCGCTCCCATCATCGCCGAATTGCCCTTTTCCACCGAGGTGGTGTTCTGGCAGCGGTAGAAGGGCGACCTCATGGCGTGCGGGAGCAGAGGGCTGGAGTGAAGGCTGCGGAAGGGCGAGGGTCCCGGCGCCCGGGTGCTAAGGAGCCCCCGGCAGCTCCGCGCGTGGGTCGGACAGAGAGGCTGCGCCACAGATAAAGCTCTGAGGGCGGCGGGGTGTTCCCCACAGCTGGAACCTCCTATCTAAACTCGCGGGTCACACCCCTCTTTGAGAGGCGGGACGCTCTGCAGGGTGAGCGCCTGGTGCTGGCATTGAGGAGCGCGGAGCAGGCTAGTGAAGAGCTCAGCCCGGATGCGCTGCGTTCTCAGTAGAGACAGACTGGTGCCGAGTCGGAAGGGCAGGAGGAAAATAGCCAGAATTCCAAGCACCCAACACCAGCCCTTCTAGCGAGGCAAGAGAAGAACTACTGAAATGGAGGGGAAATTAAGCAGCAGCCACCTGGGAGGAGGGCAGTGCGAGGGGTGCTGGTGGTGGAAATGGGGTGGCCAAGAACTCTGAAGATGAGCGAAGAGGGGAGGCTGAGAAAGGGCTTCCACCTAGTTGTCTTGAATTAGCGAGTTAAGGAAGGGTAAAGGTAACTCGTGTCTGGAAAGCCCCTAAGCCTTAGCTCCTCCTCTCTTCTAAATCAGTGCAATGTGGGGCATTCACGCTCATCTCCATTGCGTAGGCGAGGAAACTGAGGCCTTGGAAAGTTAAGTGATCTGCCCGTGGTGACAGAGCTAGAGAAGCAGCAGAGCTGGACCTCTCACCAGGTCTTCTATTTTGGAGTTCATCTGTCCTGTTCCCATGGCTCCTCCTCCCAAGAAGTTGTCCAGATTTCAGGGAAGTGGTTTGTGGGAAAGCCAAGAGCCAGTGTTGGTCCTGGGTACCATGAATCACAGTGACTGTAGAGAGTTGGTGGGAAGGGCATGGTTAGCAGCACTGTTACTGTCAACAGATGGCCTGGATTCGAGTTCAGGTTCTGCTCCTCACTGTGTGTGTGACCCTATGGGACTTGCTTATCCTCTCAATCAGTAGCATCTATCTGACCTGCCTGACTCTTTTGAGGCATAGAAATAACACGTAAAGAGCAAGCACATAGAAAGTGCTCAATACATGCAATCACCATGATTCTCATTTGATAGAAGGGTGTTTTGGTAGCTAATGTTTAACTGCAGTTTTTAGCATGGATTTTGAAATCAGAAAATGGTGGATTTGGCATAGAGCTTTCTCACGCCTCTGATTTGTGACTACTAGAAAAAAATTTATTCCTGTTTGGGCTTTGACTTGGCTGCATCATAAAGGCAAGGGAGTTAATTGTGATAAGCGTGATTTTATATCTGTAACTAGCACTCAGTGACCTGTGAGAGAAATTGGCTTTGAGTGTGGAATCTCAATGGGATGACTAAGGTTTTGTTATGTAAGCAAGTAGATTATGCCTTGGCTTGAAGGGGCTCAGTTTTAGGCCTCATGCCTGTTCTGATGGACAGACTCAGGGAAAGAGCAAGACCCTTGGGCTTTAGATGTGAAACCCTGAAGGGTAGAAAGAGAGGCTGCCTCCAGACTGAAAGTCTGGCCAGTAATTCAGGCCACAGGGTGGAGAAGAAGAATCTAAGCTTTGAAATTAGATAGTTCTGAACTCCACCACTCGCTATGTGACCCTGGGTTAGTTGTTCAACCTAATGGAATACGGGACTTATGCTGAACTTGTGGGGTTGTTGTGAGGTTGAGAAAACATGAAGTGCTTTGGCAAAGTGTAATAATAATAATAAGAGCTCATTTTTATTGGTCCTGATGCAGGTTGGACACTCTCTAAGCCTTTCACTTATACTGACTCAATAGAAGGCCTTCTATAGAGTTACTTCCCCTCTCTTCTACCTGCTGTCTCTCATTCTCATCTCTAGCCCCTAGCACATAAGAATGGGTTTAGAAGAGCCCCACTTGACTTAATGAAGTGAAAGGAAGAGCAGGCCCTATAACCAAAAGACATGAGAATTTGATGAAAGCTGTGGTCTCCTCCATAGGCAGACAGACACACACACATGCACACACACACACAGGCACACATACACAGACACACACATATACTTTACATCAATCTCAGGCTGTTCACCATTTCCTGAAGTCCCTCTATGGTACCCAGAGGAGACCCAATGGACACTAGCTTAAGAATCCTTCCTCTAGGAATATTGCATGGGTTGTTCTTCTGAAGCGTACCTACTTCAATTCTTTGCAGCTTTATTTTCATGTTACAGTGGCTTACAACTCTGTATTTATCCTAGGAGCCCTAAGATTATAAATAACTTTTAAAGAAAACAACCCCAAAGTATGACTGTTGGGCCAGCTGTGGGTCCTTGACAAGGTTTACATATGTCATGCTTTAAGGTTGAAGGTTTTGAACAAGTGCAATTCAGGAAACCACACATTTCCTCTCAGGCACTGTAGCTGGCCTTTATGATGGGGTTTCCGGTTGCCTTTCCTGCCTGCTTTGCTGTTGTCCATCCTACCCTGTTCTCAAGCCTAACTTTGGAGTCTTCTGCCCCACTTCCTGAGAAATCCTATTTTGTAATTTCACTGTACAACCAAGAAAAGTATCATTTGTTCATGCGTCAAATATTTTTTGAACTCCTGCTCTGTACCAAGCATGGGGGTGAGGGGGATGAAGCATGTGGGCACTGAGGGACATACAGCAGATAAGGAAAGACAAACATCATGTTGTGTGACCTCTACAGGCTTATACATTTTTATATTAGCTTTCAGAGTAACCAGGTTAAGTACATTTTTTCCTTAAAAGGGAAACCTTTAATGAAAATATCTTAGGCTAAGTTAATGGTAAAATTACCTCCATTATCTACAGAGCTGTACCAGGCTGCTTAATTGGGTTATAGGACAAATCTTCTGAAAATATATGACATCATGTGGATGACTATTTTAAATATATAATTATATTATGGCAATGTAAACATAAAAATCATAGATGCTCATGGACAAGGCTCAGAAGCTGACATAGGCAAATGAAAGCATTCACTTACACTTGAGACGGGATGGTAGAAAAATGTCTCCTTAGATTCTGATATTTTCAATATTGTATTTGTAATAATTATTTTAAAAGACTTTAAATGTAAAACAAGTGATATGGTTTGGTTCTGTCCCCACCCAAATCTCATCTTGAATTGTAGCTCCTATAATTCCCACGTGGTCATGGGAGGGAACTGGTGAAATGTTATTGAATCATTGGGGCAGGTCTTTCCCGTGCTGTTCTGTGATAGTGAATAAGTCTCACAACAACTGATAGTTTTATAAACGGTTTTTAATAAAGTTCCCCTACACAAGTTCTTTCTTGCCTGCCGCCAGGTAAGATGTGACTGCTCCTCATCCACCTTCTGCCATTATTGTGAGGCCTCCCCAGTCATGTGGAACTGTGAGTCAATTAGACCTCTTTCCTTTATAAGTTACCCAGTCTCAGGTATGTCTTTATTAGCAGCATGAGAACAAACTGATAAAACAAGTGTGTGCTTACGGTGGGGATTTAGGAAGGCGAAAAAAGGAAAAAAGAACATTTTTTTTTTTTTTCTAGATCCATTCTAACTATGCTTCTAAATCTTATCCATTGCTCACTTCTACTGAACTCCAAGTGATATTTTGGGCTGGGGATTGTGAAGAGCAAGAAATGGAGAGGAGGGATGCTAAAAAACAACAAACAAACTTAGCTCTCAAATTTGGAGCATGTTCTGCATGCTAGAGACCATGCTAGACATTTCTTCACATTTAGGACATGGAGTGGTAGTGTAGCAGTGTGGCCATAATGTGTTAGGTCCTGGGAGTCATGCTGTGTGAACTTAAATCTCAGCTTTGCCCCTTGCTAGCTCTGTACCCTTGCATAATCTTCTAACCTTTCTAAACCTCAATCCCCTTGTCTGTAGAAATGAGGGAAGGAGGGTGAAGGGGGATAATTGGACTGAACTCTTAGAGTAGTATCTGGTTTAAATAAAATAATCTGCATAGAACAACAGTTATCAATCTTGGCTGCACTTTGGAATCCCCTGGAGAGCTTTAAACCTTTCTGATGCTTCAGCACCCCAAACTGATGATATCAGACTCTTTGTGGGTGCCCTCCAGGCTTCAGTATTTTTTTGAAGTTCCCCAGTGTGCAGCTAAGGTGAGAATGTTAAGCACTGTGCTGTGGCCTGCTCTGCGTGGCTCTGTAAGTGATGTTCATTAATGTTTTTATTCCTGCCGACTGCACTGCAGAAGTTTTCTTGCATAAGGAAAGTGAGACTCAGAGAGGTTAATAACTTGTTTAAGTTCACATAACTGGTATGTGATGAGTCTCAAATGGCATCCAGGTCTTTTGGATTCCCCAAGCCTCTCCCTTGGAGAAAGAGAATTGCAGAGAAGACCAGAGAGTCAGAGAGAAAGGAGGGACCCTGCAACTTCCTCTATCTGCTCAGAAGTCAAGAGGTAGAACTACCACCAGGGACAGACCACATGTCAGTGCCCTGTGTTTCTGTGGTCATACAATGTCTTGTGGTGGTCTGCCCAAATATTTTGACATCTGTTTGCTATTTGCAGGTAGTTTAATAAAATCTTCGTTTTTGTTTGATTCTTATTCCTGCTTTTCAGGCTTCCCCAACCTTTTGTCTAGCAAGAATTTCCATTTTGATCTTTGGCTGCTAAATTGAGATTTACACATGGACTTCTGTCCATGACGTGGAGTGGTAGCGTAGCAGTGTGGACTTCTGTCCATGTGTAAATCAGGATCAGGATCTCTGTACGTGTAGGAATTTGAGAAAATATACTTTCAAAAGATCAACATGAATTTTTTGAAAACGTCTTTGGGTGATGACCTGAGAGTAAAGAAGTGGTGGAATAATCCATTTGTAACCTGATCATAAGTTGTGAGGGTTCATTCATTGCTGAGCTTTTCTAGCAGCTTGCATAAGCTTCCAAGAGAAGGTGTTGGCAGGTGTGTCTGGTTTGGTTGCCTGAGAAAAGCAGACTCTGAGATGGAGATGAGGATAGGATATGTAGCATACCTATTAGGAAGTGCTTTTGAGATTAACACCTGTGAAAAAGAAGGAACAGAAACAGAATTGAGTTGAGAAATTGGGTTGTGATAGTTCCAGTGAAAGACCTTAACC